AATATTTACTCTCGAATTGCAGAGTTGTCGATAAGTCAGTTTGGGTGTTGTTTTAAGCTACTAGTCATAATGGCAGATCACCAATGCGTCTTTTTATCTCTGGTCTGCATAGAAGAAGCATAAACTATACACTATTATTTAAACTTAAACTGAGACAACCTGGAATGCTTAATGCAGAGCCAGTAGTATAGGATTTAAGGATGAAGAGGAGTTCAGAAGCTGTTTGATGATCCATACCTAAGTATCATTGATTAAACCTCTATTTAAACTCATAATATGTCTCAAATCTAATTGTGAAGTTTTAAAACATGCCTCAGCTGTGAGTAAATCGCTTTTCTATTGTTAAGCTAATGTCAGCTCCACAAAATTCAATTAGATTGATTTTAGAAAAAATATGAAACATTGTAAAAATAGGAGACATTCTATATCCTCTACAATGAAGAATCAACAATTATTCACCTCAAAACTCAGTTGCCAACTCTGTATCAAAAAGCAATAAATTTTTCTCCCTAATTACACTTTTGTGCAAAAGTTCAATTTCACCTTATCAGCATAAATTGCCACCAGTCGTTCACTTCTTACACAAACTGTCATTTTTTGTTATAAATAACAAAGAAGAACATAAGCCTGTCAACTGATCATTTATTAACGATGTGACAGCGCTAAATACATGAACATTATTAATATTCAGTTCATTACGAGAAAATACGTTAATTTGATAGACTTTCAATGATCATAGTTGATTCAAATGAAAGCTTTTATTCACGCATGTGCATTGAAGCTGTTGCGAATATTCGTTCAAGAAATTCTATGAATGAACATTATTTTCTCATTTTAAGAATGAAATTGAGTGATAACGGTTTCAGTACGGATCGAAGCTTCATTCGTGATAGTAGTAAAAAGAAATCCGAGGAACGGACAACAAGGAATAAAAAAAAAGTTTTAAAATAAAAATAATAAATCTCATATGTGGATAGAAAAATAAGAAAGCAGGTCAAATTAAAGTACAATTAAATTACTGAGGATATAAAAATTAAATTATGGATGAGTGTAGAAATTTGATGTCGTTCTGTGGAAATTTAATCAGCACCAACCTTTACTTGAATTTCAAAGTAAAATGCCCCGAGGTTCTGAGTAACTGGGTTGCCATAAAAATTTATTTTTTTAACGACATGATCGCATAAAAAATTTAAGCAACAGTACCTTTACGAAAATTGAATTTTCTTTAGAAGTTAGGTACGGCAAACTTTGACTTCATCGGTAATTACTGTAGAAAAATACTGGTTAAGAAAAAGTGTTAATTGAGATGATTGATGGCTATTAAAAATTTGTTATTGAAAGCACCCTGCTAAAGTTTGAGTGCTTTAATTACATTTGAATAAGTTAGTCCATTTTCTCAACCTTCAAACTTAAGATTCAATTATTTTATTCAACGTACAGCAAAAATGCTTAAGACAGTCAAGTTATAAAGCACTTCTCTAAATTAAGTGGAAAAAATTCTTAAGAAATATGAGTGGGAAAAGAAGTCTTATTGAGAGCTAGACAAAGAATAAAATTGGCTGTCATGCTTTTGAGCAAAAAAAAGGAAAATCTTTCGATGATGAAAATGAAAATCAAGGAAAGTTGCCCTAAAAAAATGAACAGTGATTGACATGGAAATAAGGAAATTGAAATGAACATTATTTTGATCAGGAAGCATGAAGAGTTATTTTTTGAAGATTTGTTGGGGTGCTGTGGGTATCACCACTTGAAGGAATCAAAATTTTTTAAACATATTTAAATCTTGACATTTGTGGACCTCCTTGCTACACAATGATGATGAATGGGGACATTTAATTTATGATGACTTAATAGAAGAGGAATGATAAAGTTAAGGGGGAATTCATAAATGATGTGAAATTAAGCAGTTTACAAGTATGCGTAATTTTTCAAAACAAAATTTTTTAATGGTTCTAGAGTTCATAGTTTTTATTTTAAAAAAATCTGAATTGGTTTTTAAAACTAATTTCAGTTTTATTATTGTCATAAATTTTAAAGACCCCCCCCCCCCCCCCCCCTCGGGTACACCTTTGTATGCCAAATAAATTTTAAATTGAATACTTAGTGGTTAAGAAGTTTGTGATGATGAACTTGTACAGTTTCAAGTTTCAAATCTTAAAGTGTTGTCTAAAGCAAGGGTGTGGAACTGAAGAATTTCATTTTGATAATTTTTGATCGGTTTTGATCATTTTTGATAATTTTTGATCATTTTTGATCATTTTTCAACGTTTTTGATAATTTATGATCATTTCATCAGTACCACACCCTTGGTCTAAAGAAAAATAAATAATAAGTTGTTTGATAGACATGACACGTGATCGACCTTACAGGTCTACAATTAAATTAAAAAATGCACAATCAGACATTTTTACCTTGAAAACTATAATTTTAAAAACTTCTTTCTGCTTAATTAATTTTATCAATGAAAATATGCGGTTTCCTAGGCTATATCAACCGCTACCCACAGTCGGTGTATCGAATATCATTTTATAGTTGGTTGAATTGAATAGAGATCTATAAATAAATTGATAATTGCATTTCCATGCGAAGCTTTTCATGTGCCTTAATTATTATTATTTCTATACTTGAAAATTTTGTCAGACATCTGAAAGCATTTTCGTGTCAATTCTCGTGAACTTTATTATTTTCAACTAGAAATTCTTGTGAAAAGGAATAATTTAAAACAAAAAAAATAGAATGCTGTGAGGGTTGTTCCTTTCAATTGTAGAAATGAAGTAATTTGAATTTCCATTATAAAAAAAGCTCATTGAATTAAACAAATTCGCAAAGAGATGATGCTAATAAAGTAAGAAAACCTTTTTTTTTCATTTATGCGAGACAAAAGGATTCTTTATTAACTTCACGTACTTTTGAAAAGGATGTTGAATTAGTTAGAAGGCATAAAACTTCTGTGGTATTCCAAAATAAAGTTCTTTTTAATAAAATTCAATCAGCAGTTTTTAAAAAAAAATCACATCCTTTCAAAAGTCATCTTAAGGTTTTGCTGGAAAAATGTAATTTTGTTTATTTCGAAGGAGGAAGTAGTAAGCACCCTTATAACCAAAAAAAAAAAAAATCCCTTAAGTGCTGGTGAAAATTAAGTGTAGGATTTTTTCTATTCTTATCTTTCAATATTTTCCCACTGACTTTATCTTTCTGATTTTTTTTTTGGATCGAAGTATTTTTCTATGTTGAGAATCTAAGTTGTTTATCGAAAATGTAAACAGAAATGTGGCACTGAATGTGTCTACCACAATTTAACCTCCTTTGTCTTCGACTTGAGTCATTTCATTTTATAAACTCTTTAAATTTTTCATTTGAATTAAGTTGAAGTTGTTCATTTTAGCTTTGAAGTTTTAAGATTGACGCAACCCTATAAAAACATGAGTTTTTTGATTAATTAAACTGAATAATTCATCAGGGGTCGTTCACTTATGACGGTCAAAATTAACGGTCATTTTCAAATAAGAACAATGAACTTCCAGGAATTTCTATTGTTCTTTTCTTGCTGACCCCTCCTGGACGTCATAAGTGAACGACCCCTCAGAGAATTATGAATTTTAAGTTCAGTCCTCAAACAATTCAAAGAATTTGTACGATTTAAGTTCAGCTTCATGAAATTTTTTTTTGCTTTACGACCCTTTAATATGCCACAAGCATTCATTAAAAACACATTCTTAGAACTAAACTTATTGTAAAGATAAAGAAGCTTTCAAAAAACATTTTCATTTTCGCACATAAAAAAGAAATCTCTCAAGAAGAAATTTATTCAAAGTCTACAAAAGAAGATGTTCCTGGAAACTTTATAGTGGAATCCTTTTATTTCAAAGAAATGAAAAAAAAATCCTTTCAATGTTATCATTCCAATAGAAAAGCATCAACACCTGCTAGTATTTTTTTTATGTAATTCTATCTTTATATGAAGCATAAAACATTTCACAGTCTCTTTAAAAATTGATAAAAAAAATGTGTGAAATTTCTTCGCTGAAAGAGTTTAAAGACTTCTAAGTTCTTTGTTGTCTCACAAATGCTACATCATTGACATAAATACGAATTACAATAAATTTCCCGGAAACACATCATCAGATTTTTACCAGTGTTGCTGAATTGGATGTCTAGGCTGTTTTTAAATTATAGGCATCTTTGAAGCTAGATCCAGCTTATTATATAATCTAGGCTAATGACTTTGAAACTTTATATATAAATTATAAAGCTGAGCTTATGCTAGTGTATGGCTAGAGCTTGTGATATAGCTAAGAGTTTGTTCTGGAGGATGACAGAGACATGGTTTGATATTAACTCTATTTGTGTTTAAAAACCTTGTTACTTTATAGGGCAAACTAGTATGACTTGATTTTGACTTGTGTAACTTTGAGATAAGAAATGATTTGACTAAGGTATTGTCTACCATACACAGATTTAAGTTTAAATTTGGATTTTATTGACAGTCTAGACTCTAAGCCATAGAATCAGCCAGACACCAACACTGTCGTTCACTCATTCAACGATTTTCATTACATTTATGAAATTTCACACTCATTTCCCTCATTTTATAGATGACTAACAGAAATATGCTGGAAAGCAATCATCATGAATGTAAGAAGAAGCACAGAATCAAAATAGGATTATATTAATGCCTTCAAACTCAAAAAGTATGTAATAGAATATTGTGAAAGAATTATATAAGTGAATATTACATAAGTACATGATAAAATGTGAATTCCATAGCCATACATGAGGCTTATCACGTTTACCAGAAGTGAAAAAAAAAGAACAATAAGATTCATTCAGTTGGAGTTATGCAAGATGTTGATCTATTTTGTGAAAAAATGTGGATTCAGTCATGCAAAAGATAATCCTTGCGTGTATATTTTCAATCATAATGAAAAGGATGCAGCATAAATCCTGAATAAATGGAATTGAAAAAAATTTGTGTGTCTTCATAACAAGAATTAAGCAGAATGAATAATTTTAGTGACATAATTTATGATGCAGAAGTTGAAGACAATTCACATCCAAATTACTACATTGGACTTGGTGCAAGTAAAATAGAAGTTTATAGGAAATACCTTAAAAATCTGAATCTATCGAGCACGAACAATTTCAGTGATTACGTAGTGCGCAATTATGCTAAAATGCTTTTCTCCACAAACTCAACGACACAGTTTGATGATAATGTTAATAGTTATGAGATGAATTCAGATGTTATATCCAAATCGCATTCGTTTAGTGCAGCTAATTCTATGGTTGTTTTAATTGTGTTAACAGTAATTTATGTGATTATTTTTGTGCTTGGTGTACTGGGTAATGTCATAACATGTATTGTGATTGCAAAAAATAAGTCAATGCACACGGCTGTCAACTTCTACTTATTTAGCCTTGCCGTATCGGATTTACTATTGCTATTGTCTGGTAAGTAGATGATTGAGTTGATTATTTTGGATGGAAAACTGAAGTTTTGTTCGAAAATAGATGATAGGGGAGTTGAGGATGTATTCAGGTACGAGTATCATGAAGAGCTCGAAGTCGATAGACTCAAAACCGGAAAAAAAAACGAAAAAAACCCGTATCGACTCGAGTCAACTCAATTCGACTTCGAGCTCTAGTATTATGTGTGGAGGGCTATAGAACTTCCTGAATGCATCCCCAAACAAATCTCTTTAATTTTTCCAAATTCATTTATGTAATCTTCTTTTGTTAATGGGATTTGAGGTAGGATTTTCACTGACTTTTATGGATGATTTTGGTAATTCCTTTTGTCTGTTAGTAGCTTTGTCCAATCTTGTTTAATCAAAAGTCTAACAATGAAGGCTTACTTTCTGAAAATCTCAAATCATTTTAATCTTTTCATTGGTCAGTCTTGAAAAAAACTTTGTCTGTAAATGGTACAAGTTTCTGGTAGATTAATCAGATGAAGTTCGTGAAAATTGCTTGTTATTGCTTTAAAGTACTTTAAAGGGGCGTTTGACCATCTGCTTGGTTATTCGGAGGACTGTTCTCTATTTTTCATTTTTCAAAATTAAAATAGTTTTTTGCTCTAATTCGTCCACAAAACGAGTAAAATTGGTCATCTTATTTACAGGCATATGGTATAAGGGTGCAAAATTTAAATGCTGAACTTCTGAACTGTCGTGCTTGACATCAAAATCCATGCAATAAATGTTGCTATCATTGATTCTACGAAATATTTTACTCACTATCGTCAAAAGCAACGATAAATTGAGCCTCTATCTCCCAACATATTACTCCGCTGCTACAACAATGTTGCTATCTTTAAGAATTATTTGTCATGTCAACGTTCAGATTGAAATATCAATATAAATACTTTAAATCAGATTAAAATTTAACAAAATGACTGTAATGTATCACATAAATAATAACAATGTAACTTTTCAATCATAAATCAACAAATTTAAGCATAAATAAATCCTTTAACATTATTTTTTAAATTTTCTGACATAATTAATGGTTGCTTGGTGCTGATGTGTATGTAGTACAATACACTTCAAAGTTTATAAGGTGACATTCGATGACATTGTCTGTTTTGTGGGATTTTGTCACGAATATCAAGTATTAAAAGCTTTTATGTGTAGAATTTTGATAAATGTTTGCAATTTTGTTGCTAAACTTTTTCTTTAATTTTTTTTTTGTTGCTGCTGGAATCATAATTTTTGCGAGGGGGCTGTCCGTAAATGATGTTTGCTAGGAATTTGGACTTTTTGAGTGGATTTTTTTCTAATTTGTCATAAAAAAATGTTTTGGGGGTTTCAAATGTGATGGTATAATTAGGACCAAGCGGCAGACAATTAGCACTAACGTCCAGTTGGAAATTGGCTTCTAAGTGGCTGCAGTTTTGGTTTTAATTATACTATCAACTCGACTGCAAACATTTCAATATGTGCCGATCGGGGAAGCTTACATTGTGGATTATAAGGGGTTTGAACCGCCTCAGGACCTTGAAAAAAGCAAGACTCTTAGAAATTTTTTTAATTAATTGCCCAGGAACTAAGCAAGGAGGGCCTCGTCCCTCCTTAAATTTGAAACCAAAGCGAGAGCATGGCTTAATCTTGCCCCCTCCCCTTAAGCATTTTCAGCCGTGCTCTCGCTTCAGTTCAAAATGTAACAGGGGGGACAAGACCCCCTTACTCGCCTGCCCATATCAACATATTATCAATAAATAACCCCGTAAAAACTTTGTACGAAAAATAAGCTTCTATTTATATAGGTACTCAGAATAACAAATTATGATCCAAATGGTTCAGTACTCGAATAAAATTTCAAATGAAAACAAAAATGTTTTATGAAAAAAAAACTTTGTTTTTGTTTCAACCGCACACAAAAAATCGATTAATTTTCATTTAATTTATATTGCTATCTAAGGACTCACCCGACCGCAGATGCACAGAAAAAACATTTAAAAATCTCATTTTCATGAGCATCTAGAGATTCAGTAGCTTAATTTTAAGAATTAGATTTTGGTTATTTGCTCAATGATTTTGGATAATAATAAAAAGAAGAATAAGGCTATGTAATGGATCTGCTTGAAATTTTCTATTAGAATTTCCGAGGAAAACTTGCTTTGACATTTTTTCAAAAATTTCTTCGAATCGATTCTAATCGTATTAAAAATAAATTGAAAAAATGCCAAAAAAACACATTTATTCCAAAATAGAAACAGAATTTCCTATTCAAGACTTGTTGCGTCTTCATGTAATCCATAGTATAATTTTACGCATGCTTATTTGAATGCAGAAGGGTCCTTGAGTTAAGAAATGAGATTTTTTCCATATGCTACCACCAGCTTTATTTAACTGAGAAGATTTTATCATTTCATTTAGCCATCAGAACCACAAGCACTCTTCTTATTTTAATTCTTGAGCATCTCAATTTCCCACAAAAAAATTGTGGAAAACTTTTGAGTTTGAATGAAAAAATATGGTTTTTAATTTGTTACAGAGAATAATTTTTTGTACAGAATTAAAACTTTAATACGAAGATGATAGTTGGAATTGACAGACAAGTAGCCAACTGGAACTAAGGACTTTTTTTCATAATTTGAATAATTGAAACTTGAACATTTTTCCTTAATTGAGGTTGAGCTTTTTTATACTTTTAATCATGTTCAGTAAGAATCACTTTGGCAAAGATTAGTTTTTACTTTAAATCTTGCAAAAGCTCATGGAACTGGAAAGAACAAATATTTGCTTTTTTAGATTGCAGTTAAACTTTGTGAACTGAAACTGATTTCCTGTTTATGGCAACTGCATAAATGTGCTTTGATATACTCGTTTAAAAAGCAATCTCAACACTTTTTCATTCCTCATCCAATAAACATTCAATCGGAACTCAAAATGTAAAGTTGTGAATGTTTTTTTTTAAATGAAAGTTTGCAAATGTACTGACAGAATATTAAAGGCTTCAGGCAAATATGCAGAAGTTAAAACAAATATACAAGTCTAGACCAATTGTAAAGAGTCAAAAAATGTTTGCATTTTGTTCTGCTTGCAAAAAAGTTGAAAAAAGGTGAATCAAAATTTTCAAAAATAATCAAGGCTGGATTTTTCTTTGGTCTTAATATCAGTGATTTTTCAACTTTTAAGGATCCAAGCAGATTTAAGCTATTAGTATAAGGTTCTATCAAATTAAGTAATGATTGATTTAAAATAATCAAGTCGAGTAGGCTGTAGAAATTCCCTTTAACTGCTTTATGTGTATACTAATGTAAAACAAGTCGGGTTCGATGGGAATCAAAACCACGACCTCAAAAGAGGCAATCTCTGACCACTCGATCGGAGATCTCTACCACTCTGCTACCGAGGTACTTATCTCACTTCGGATATCCGTCATACACATATAACCAGTTTCAACGTGAGCCCTATGCTCAGGCCAATCTACTACAGGTGTGCCTGTCGAGCCATATCTATATTGGCTTCTTTTAATCAACTTTAAGTCAATTCATTTATGTTGCATCAAATTGACTTCAAACCATTTGACGACTTCAAGCTCAGAATTTGTCGACATAAAATCAGAGGGGAAACAGAGCAAAAATTGTTATTTTTGATGCTTCAGTTCCTTTAAATATGAGTTTTTCAATTTCGTTTGTGGAGTACTTGGAAATTTCATCACAGTAAACATATTTTTGGGTTTTTTTTGCTCTGTACCCCCCCCCCCCCCCCCCCCCTGCATAAAATGAATAATTCATTACATAATTTCGATAAATGTTTTAAATCAATTCTTAGAATAAAACTTTATATTATGGAAATCAACATTCAATTTGCTTGCATAACTATTTATTTCCAAATATTGAATAATTCCATTGAACTTGCATTGGATCTGAAATGTTGAATATAAAAATATTTCCTTCTTTTTGATGGATAGGCTTTTTATTAGTCCATTTTGTAGACGATATCAACCTCATAAAAATATGTATTAGAAAAATACGAAGAAATGTAGTAAAAAAATGCCATCGATCATAGTTATTCTGCCATATTACATTTGCATGGATAAACAGGAAGAAGACATGAATTTTCCATCTCTTCAGAGACTCCGGATATTTAAAAAGACAAACAGTTCCGAATTTATTTTTCGGTTTGTTGTTTATTTCCTCAAGGAAGTAAATATGTATTAAGATTCATTCACATCACTCTTTCCTTTATCATTTAATCAATAAGAAGTGGAATAGTCGGAAAACCCTTTTATTGAAATGTGTTTACGCCTTTTTTTCCACAAAAGTTTTCCTTTTTGATAAAAGCTCTAAGGCATTTGCTCAAGAATTTTCCAATATGTGACAACAAAAAAAAGAGGGAAAATTGTGGATGAGAAATGTTTAATGTGGGGATTTTAGTCTATTGAAATATATAGGTCTAGTGGTATTTACATCTCATTCAAAAGTTCAATAAGAAACACTTTTGTGACAGTTAAGATCGATTGTAAGTTATTTTCAAGTTTTAAGTGTAAATTCTACCACACATTTCATTATTACTGGTATTAAATTTTAAGGAGTTGTTGTCATCTTATTCATCATCTCTGGCTGTTTGCTTTGAAGACAGAAGGTTTGAAAGGGTGAGGTTGACAGTTCCAATGTCTTCGGTACGTCATTTATGAATGGACATTAAAAATGGTTTTTATGACACATATCGGCTGGAACTGACTTTTTTGTGAACCTACTCTTATGTTTTGAGATATTATTGTGATCTTGGAACTGGAAATTGCTTCCTATTCCCTCCCCATCTCTAATCTTCTTAAGGATGGATGTCAAATGTGAATAACCACTTAATTGAGCAACCATCTTGCAATGGATGTCCCACATAATGCATTTAATAGGATCTGAAAAAAAAAATAATCCACAAGCACAGCATGCAAACATTCAACGTCAATTAAATGCTTCAATGGATCATTAAAATTTAATTGCAAAATATTTAATTACTCAACTTATGTTTCATTAATGCTGATGATTCTTGAGTTTATTTGCCCTATGCTCCTAACTTACCCAAAGCTTAATTTCTTTGAAAAAATTGAGTTCTTTATGGATGCCTTAATCACAAAAATTTCCAAGTATTTCCTCATTGCATGTTGAATATTTAACAAGCCGAATTTTCATTACGCTGATGTAATCCCGAGGGTATGATAAGTCACAGATGATACTTATAACAACAGCAGTTGAGGATAATTGTTACAAACCAACAAATGAACTTCTTCTGTTGCCAACTGGCGATGAAAATGTTTCACAATCTTTTACAACTGTCAGTAGCTTCTTATTAAAGATTCTCAAAAGACCACATATTTATTTTGTCAGTGATTTGAGGACGAAGGTAGATCTTAATATTTTCGATACAAAAACTTTTGGAAATGTTGAATTTCTATTACACCCACGTAGTGTGACATCAAAAGATGGATGATGATGGTCGTGAAAGGCGGTTTGGAGCTGACAGTATGGTTTAGATTGAATATGCAAGTTAATGTACGGAAACTTAGAATGAAAGTTATTGGAAATTCTATGAGTGTGGAGGTGAACTTCCGGACTTTAATAAATTTATAGAAATAAATTACTTCGAATGGAGTGGGACTCGAACCCACGTATGTAGTATGATTATTGAGACTCTTCCGATATCCCACAGAGATTTCGAGTGTTACTTGACTTATGAGTAATTATAGGCAAATGACACGTTTAAGTAACATAATTGTCTCTTTTGCTTGAACTACCCTGATTCATCCTTACCAGAATTTATTGGAATCCTGTAAATATAACAATGGAAATTTTGCTGATGAATTTCACCGAATCTTCGTTTATTTATCTTTCATTTGCCCAGTTCGTCGGACTCAATGTAGATTAAACTGACCAGAAATAATGACTGATGAATGATGAAAAATATCTGTTTTGTTTGCGTGCCTGCGTTCATCAACAAAAATGTTTTTATCTGAAAATCTCACATGGAATATTCTTTATTGATACTTCCTTATCTGATTCAAAGGCTGGCCTTATTGTGTAAATAATTATAGAAATTATTTTTATGTATGCCTCTTTTTAGACCACAACGAAAACACGAGATAGCTTTAAAAGATTTAATTCAATTCACTGTGATCAATCACAAAAGCTCTAAAACTTCAAATTGCTCTTTTGGTTTCAAACTTTCCAATTAAATAAAGCTTTTTATAACATTGAATGTAACATATCTGCTAGAAATAAAACGATTTTGAGCATATTATGATGATAGAATTTCATCCACGTATGTTCCTTCAAAAAAAAATTCCAACTTCCAAAATTCATAAAGATAAAGTTTTGCTAAATTGAACTTTGAAACGAAAAACTATCAAGGATCAAGGCGAACAAGATTGAGTGAAAAAAGAGAAATATTGGAAATATCATCAACAATTTCAACATCAAGAAGAAGTATAATCGAGTTTTTATCAGGTTCAGTGTATCCATAACCAATGAATGCTCGTTGCTTTATTAAGATTCATGTCATGCATTAAGAGTCTCTGAATATATACAACATATTTTGTAGCTATGCATTAATTTCGTAAAATGAGATAATCTTCTGAGAATAGGAAATATTTATTTAGGGAATTATTTTTGATTCTTGGAAGGATTTTGTTTTTGAATTGAAATAAAATTTGTAATCAAATAAAAGTTTTGAGGAACTCTCGAGGTTTGGGTTGTTTATTTTTGACCTTGAATATATAGTACTCGAAACAGGAGTCCTGTCTGGCTAGCACTGTTGCTTTGTCATTGTCAATTCACCAAATGATTGTAATTCATTCGCACCGAAACAACAAGGTTGTGGTTTACATGACAGCCATGAAAATATATTTACAGAGCCTCACTTAAGTGTAGCATCAGCGATTTATCAATTCAAAATCTTTAATATTTTTTCTAAACAGCATTGAGAGAGCATGACATCTAATTGAACATGCTGACGTAGTTCATACTTAAAGTGTTTTTAGAATAAAGCATCAAAAGAAATATTTTTCTTTGATAATTGAATATTAAAGCCTTATGAAAATTCAACGAAATGTGATTCAATAAAAAACTCAATGTTTGACGTCTCTAAATACTTTCAAATTTCTTAATATAATAAAAACGAGGAGTATGCATGACTTTTTACAACAATTGAATAAATTATTTAATCCATTTGCAAAAATAAAAGTGCTTTGACTTCGTTGAATATGCAACTAAGGTACAATGAGGAGGAAGTGAGTTGAAAATCAATTTTTCAAAAATTTGACTTCCTAATTTCAAGAAGCAGATTTTTTATGATAATTTACATTTTTTTCAAAGAATTTTACTTTCATCAAACATAAAAATTTACTTTGCTGGAAGCATTTTTCTTTTATTTTGTTTTTGAACGTAAAATAATAAAAAATGAAAAACAAATTTTTTTTATGTATGTTAAAGGGGGTTTTGGTAATGATCAGAGTTGTTGAAAAGAGATGTTTTTGCATTTTGATCTCGTTGCATAGCTAAACCTTCTTGTTAGCTTATTTGCATTTAATAAACAATGTTTAAAGAGATTTAAAACTCCAGTGGAAGAAAATTTAGACTTTATAAATTTGACATGTTAAGAGGCAAAAAACTTTAGATGTTTTGAACGGTCATCATTTAATATTGATCTTTCGCCTTACCTATGACTCTATACATGTCCAAACTTACCCTAATCTCACTTCAATCCAAGCCTAAGATGCAGAAGAAGAGACAAGAATGGAAGTAGATTTAATATCGCAATCTAATCCATTTGTCTGTTGATATAATCTTGAAATCTTAATTTATAACTCTGATATATTTTTCATTAAGATGTTTAAGCATTCATGTTGTTCAAAACTCTCATTAAGTTGATAAATTTATAATTAAAATATTTTCTAATAGGATTACACATCTAAGCCAGAACATTTCTTTTTTATTAAAAATTTCGAAATGTTTAATTATGCAAAAAATAATTTAGAACCACAGCGATAAATCTCAAGGCATATTATTAAATTTCGCTATAAAATGGCTGATAATGAATAAAAATGAATAATTTTATCTCGTTTAACTTCCGAGAAACGGATTCATTCAGCCTCTTTTAAACAGGTGTGAATTATGAGCTTGTGATAAGCCTATTGGACTTTCTTGTAATGAGATTTTTTCTTTTTGTTTGCTTTTGCGATGTAAAAGGACAAATATTGTGGCTTCGGACATCTTATTACAAAGTCTACAAAAAGGGAATTAAGTCAAAAGAAATTCATAATCTACTTTAGAAAATGTTACTTCTAAGATTTAGAGATAGGATGGCCTCCTATCTAGTGATGTCGATTTTTTGCAAGGTCTATTGCAATTTTAATTTTTTAATGAGATTTACAACTCAGCTTTTTGTAATTGTCAAGTTTTACTTCCAATCCTCTTGTACCGTAGGCTACGTTCTATGAATTTTAATCCACCCCTCCCATAGCTACACACCTGACCATCTAAAAATCTAATCAGTGAACAGATCCTAAATTAAATTCCATTTAAAAGTTTCATTGCAATATGTTGTTCTTGTCCATATTTCACAACATAATAATAATAAATATTTTTTTTGTCGTTTTTAAATTCAAGCACTGCCAGATGAAGTATACATGCTGTGGTTTCCTGAATATCCATTTGGCGAAACAATATGCAAGGTTCATAAATTTGCTGCGGAAAGTTTCACCAACGCAACTGTGTTTACTATAACAGCATTTACGATTGAGAGGTAATTGAAAAAATAAATAAATAAATAAATAAACAAATAAAAATGTTGAAATGATTTCGCAAGTGGACAATAATGTTCAGAAATTTCTTGTTTGTTTAGGATTTTCTTTTAGAATTTTAATTCTTAGAATGAAGTCTGAAAGAAAATAATGTTCTTTGAGGCATTTTGTTGATTTTGTGACTTGTTTACTTCCTTAAATATTTGATTTTCCCGTGACTTTAAGATTTAATTGATATTAAATTCAATTTAATGTTTAAAAGCTTGAGAAATAAGGTTTAAATTCATTAAACAAAGATAAATTCAAAAGACATTTTAAACAAAATTCAGGTTTAAGAATCTTTAATCATCTCCAAATAAATAATCTTGATCATCATCCAAAATACTCGAAAGTATTCATCTCTAGGGCGTACTATGTGTTTATGTTAATTTTTTTGTTGGTTTATTTGAATGTTTTGAGCTTGATAAACAAGCTATTAAATTTAAATAATAACAAACTTTTTAAGCGTAGACATGATCTGTTGTAAAATCGATTGTATGGCATGTAATTACATCGCGACATACACGAATCAGTGATTATTAGATGGAAAACTTTTTATCGTACATAATGGCATGCAAACATTGATTTATTCAGTTTTGTGCTTATGGGATTTTTGCTCATGAAAGATCGATTGAGTTTCAAATTCTTTCAGCATTTTTCGTCTTACAGGCACGTGGAAAAATGATTTTGATTAAAAACGACACAAGAAAGTGTATTGAATGCGAGGATGTAAGGAATAAGGTAGATTCTTCATCAAGAACATGTAATTTGATTTGATGCAAAATGAAATTTTCATTATAAATCTGTCTTAAAGTTAACGTTGCATGAAAAAAGAGATTTGCTTCAAATTTCTCGGTACATTGAACATTTTGCGATGAATAAATGATGACAAATTAATATGGTAATTAGCTACGACTTGAGTTTTATTGCTGTTATCGAAAATATCAATATTCTTAGAGCTCGTGCCATATTTTGCGTAGTAAATTACATGCTTGTAAAATTTCAAAGTCGTAATGAAACCCATCAGTTCTTGTTTATTGTTAAAACTTGTTTTGAACTTAATGCGCAATTAAAAGTTTGTTCTTGAACATTCAGTCTGTGACTTTCATTAAAACGTCCTGAAGAATGATTATAAATAGTTATGACAATTGGAATACAATAGTTTTTTTTAATTACATGTGTTGTTCTTAATAGAACAATAGTATAAGTTTCATTATGAAATTGTGAACTTATGTCATTCTAAAAATCCTAGTCTAGCTTTAATTCATAAATTAATAGTCATTTAAAATCCATAATAATGAGAAATTTATGAATATAGTTTTTATAGCGAAATATTCAACATTTACCGGCATTTACCTATTCCTTTCTAATTTTAAAATTTATTCAACTTTTTCTTTTGCCTTCTTTCTTTTCAATTCTTCCCTTTTCAGATATGTTGCCATTTGCAAGCCTTTCTTATCGCACACTTTATCAAAACTTTCCAGAGCATATAAATTTATTTTGGTAAGTAAAGGTTGGCATTTTGCTAGTCTATGTTTGTTTGCTTTTAAAGAACATGAAAGGAAGTTGAAGCTTTTCATTACAAGATTCTAAATTAATTTGAATAACGAAAGGAAATAGTCTGAGGAAGCAATAATTCGTGGGAAAAATTGTTTATGTCCAAAGTTTTACGTTTTTGTTTTTGTCTTTTTCTTTTTTATAGGGAATTTGGATGATCTCGATGTGCTTAGCAGTTCCTCAGGTTTGTTTGTTTTGCCTGACTGAAATTTTACGATGATATGCAAATTTAATATCTTTTTCAGACATTGTTTACTCTTCATCTTGATGAAGTTTATCGAATATGCATACCAAAACAAGAACATCAGCATCTTTTTGTGATCTCAACTTTTCTCTTATTTGTTATACCAATGTCCGTGATAACAGTTTTGTACATATTAATAGGACTTCAACTTAGAAAATCTAAAATTGTTCAACGTGGTGCTGTCAATGGAAGTAGTGTAAGATTAAAGGTGAGTTTTAAATAGTTTGTTGACATTAAGAGACTTACTGCTGAAATGACAAACTTATTGACTGGTGAACTAACAGACTGACAGAATGATAGAGACTCTGGACCATTTATTTATTGAAATCCAAACGATTCAATTCACCAAAAAACTTTTATTTTGTCAAAATAAAAAAATTCTTAGAAGATGATTTTGTTTACGTTTCATGAGTTATGCATTCAATAAATATTCTATAGCCTCGTGCTGCTCTTTTGTGTGTTTTTATTCAAATGAAAATTAATTGATTATATAATGCATTTATATTAAATTCGACTTTACTGGTTTCTAATGGAAACCGCTTGTATGAAATTTAATAATTAATTGATGGGAAATGATTGACATTTTGTGATTCCAGCTACTAAAAAAAAAGAAACCTTAAATTGGCATTTTCAATTTATTTTAAATTTATTCAACATACTTTTTTTTAGAGCAATATTGATATTGTCTCAATGAAAAATTTATGAATAAAGGAACATTTTTTTACTGACTGTCGGATGTAACAAAAGAGCCATTAATCAAAGATAAGAATTTGTGTTAAGAAGAAAGGTCAAATTTTAAATAGAACCATTATTTATTCCAATTTTGTTGAATGAAGTCTTCTTGATAGATATCAAAATCACAAAAGTATTCTAATCGACAGCAACGTAGCTAGGTTAGTTTAGATGCCTAAACCTTTTTCTAATATACATACTTCTACCGTGCGACAACAGGAGATATAACTGACTTTTACGAAATCGTCAGCCTCGTAGCTACACTTTTTCAATTAATTAGTCTGCAGTTTTTCAAAAGAAATTCTAGAATTCCTTTAAAAATTGATAACTTCTGTTGATTTTGATTAAATTCCAATTTCCCTTTGTCTACTTCTAGCGTAAAATTTTCAAAAACGATGCAAAGCATCAAACACTTGTGACTATAAATAGTGAATCTCATTACAATGAAGCTCTCATTCAACAACAGCAGCACAATCAGCCGAACAACAATACAGACTTGAATAAGGAATATAAAATAAATTCGTCCGAGCAAGACAACATAGTACCTGAAGATGGACGAATAAATTACTCAAGTAATCGTGCTCAAGTGCATCATGGATCTCGTCACGTTGTAAATATGCTGGGTACGTAGACTGATTGAAATTGAACAGTTTCATTCATGTTAATGATTACGACATTGAATGGACTTTTTTTTTCATTTAGAGATAAACAGACCTTTTTACGTTTCGTTGAATAATAAAATTCTAAGTGGGGTTGTTCGTAAATGATGTATGGTGTTGAAAAATGACAGGACATGAAGCTATATGAATGGCATAGTCAGAAATTTTAAGAAATGGTTCCGATTTATTTATAAAATGTTTCTCATACTAATTTCAATATTTAGAACTAAATGAGTGGCTAGCACCATCGTGCCTTTATCCCTGACTGCCTTGACAAAACCATTTGACGTCATTTACGTTTCACCACAAAGAAGTTTCTTCTTAAATATTCATGCTTTATAAAAAAACTCCGGAAAGCTTTTAAGTGTATCATCATAACCAGAATTGAAAATGCAATGTATATGCTGTACAATTATGTCTATAGGACACGTGGTATAACACAATTTTCATCCTACGCATATTTTAAAGCTTCTTATTTGAAATATTAATGTTCTCTGATACTCACTTTAATTCCTTGATCACGGATTTCCTTAATGGAAACGGAAGAAGTAAATTTGATATTTACTAAAAAATTGCTCGTTGCTAAGGAGTGGGACCATTTATTTCAATTGAGTTCTCCCTTAGATTTTTAAATGGAAAGAAGCCTTGGATAATTTTGCCAAAAATTATTATTATAATTAAATTTCGTCTCATTTATAATTCAATAATGATTCAATTTATATTGACATTTATTATGTTAAGGGCAAAGTTCAATCTGTTGCTAAGCAGTTTCTTAAAAAGAGTAAATAGAAATCTTCGATGCCAAACCAAGCATATAAAGACAATTCTGTTAATGTGACTGAAAGGATCTTTATAATTGAATGGGTAGGCAGCAGATTGGTTAATTAATATTCTGGCTGTTTTAAAAAACGTAGGGTTTCCCATCAAAAAATAGCAATTGATAATGAATTTGATAGAAAAATTGATTTTTAAAACATTAAACAACTTTAGAACTTCTTCTTAGAATACGTTCGTTCCAATTTAAAGCAAAAATGTGGGCTATACTTAAGCGATTCTGGCGAATGCGAGAATAAACCTTCTGTGGCAATAGACCCACCATCTCTCTCACCAGGTGCGTAGCCATGAGGGTCTTGTTTCCTTAAACGTTTTGAACCGCAGCGTTTCGCACACATGATGATGTGTTTGATTCCCACAAGAAACCAATCTCGCAATCATTTAAATATAGTCATTATGACAATGACTAGAATTGCATTCATATTTCTGTCTAGACACCTGCATTTAAGACACAAAAGTCACAGTGAATGTGATAAAAATAAAATTACATTAGTTTTATTCAGTTACTGATAATGTAGCTATTCGAATCAACTGTACTCCCTATATAAAAGACTTTTAACTTTTCATATCTCAAAAAGACGCTTCCAGTCAATTCACCGCCAACATTTCCATTTCATTTCATGAAATTGATTTCGTGCTGACTGTTAAAAACCCTTTTAAATGTGCATGAACGCTACGTAAATTATTTTAAGCGATTTGCGGTATCATACGGCCATCATTCAACGTTACAGACAATTATTTCCTATGAAAGATTCAAAATGGCAGTCCCAAATAAAAGGCAAGCGAGTATCATTAGTGATGATTCTTGTGAACTCAATTTCCATCAATTTAATGATGATTTGATGCTGAATTGTTGATTGCATGTTTCAACATGCAAAAATCTTTTCTTAAGTAAGTTCCGTAATTTACATTTTTAGTATCTAATGCAATGTGTCACATTCAGAAGCAAGTAGGAGTTTCCATTTTAGATGAGGTATTGCCGACATAAATGTTTCTGTGTATAAGAATTTATTAGCATGAAGGCTTGATATGAATATAAGAGGAAACTTAGTTTATTGCTTTTCCTGATGACAATAAAATGTTTTGACACTTTTAGCTTTTGAAAATCGGGGATAAAGTTTGTGGAAAAAAATTTCAGAATTTATTAACTTTAATCCCACTTTGTGAATCTTCAGCACCCCTAGAGATAATAACCTTTTGGAAATGATGAATGAACTTAAAAACTTTCTCTATTATCTCCAAAACTTATTCTATTTTATTTTTAACATTTTATTTCTTTTTCTTTAATCTACTTTTCAGTTGTTGTTGTCATCACATTTTTCTTATGCTGGTTCCCGTTCCACATTCAACGGCTTCTGTTTACATACATACAGCATACACTGAGTGAAAATGTCTCGTTTAGTGTAAATACAGTTTCTGGTGTCTTGTTCTTCGTCTCGACCTGCATTAATCCATTTTTGTACAACATTATGTCGGCTAAGTTCAGAGATGCATTTAAGGTAAGTTTATTAAACATTTTATAATTTTGTCGAGGGATGTAAAGTTGGAGGAATTTTTAGGATGTTGAAGATATCTTTTAGAAAAGTATTTTGTTCAACTTTTGTAACCCAAAATTTTATGTTTTTCCTCAAAGCATTTTCCATTTTGAATAAGAGTTTCGGATGAGAATAAGTTATAAGTAGGTCAATTTGTTCAATTCATTCTTCACACTAGCGGTGAAATGGCATCAGTGGCCTAAATGGTAGAGCTTTGCCCTTCCGTGCCAAAGAACCTGGGTTCAATCACAGGCCAAGCCAAGTTTTAGAAGCTCTTTTTCTATTTCACCGTTCTAGTTACAAAGCTTGGTTCGTGTGTTTCGTGTAGTATTGATGTCTTTGGCACAGAAAATACCTCCTTTGCTAGGTATACAAGGATAAATTAGTATCTGGATGACTACCTTACGGCATCTTGCGCACACGAATTGTGACTAGGTACATTGCAGGGTACTTAAGGTCTTATGACGTACTCGTGTCCTGCTATGTGAAGAGCTTGCAAGTGGTTTGGATTTCACTATAAACTGTAGGTCTAAAGGGTGTGGTACAATAGATTCTTTACCAATCGGATCGCAGTTCCTTCAGCTGAAAGGCTTGACCCTTCACACATTATTATTATTATTAGATCAATTGTGATCCAGAGCTGCGCTAGGGCAATTCGCGGTTAATGGGAGTTTAATGATTCAGGAAACGCAAGAGCACTGCTCTCAAACCTAGTCCTATAGTTTATATTATTGTATTGAGTACAGACTGTCATGAGCTTCCTTGTAAGAGGCAGTTTGTAATTTTCACCTCGAATACAGTCAGATAGGGAGGGTCCTGGCATTAAAACCTTAAGCTAGACAGAAAATAGCTTCAAATTTCTTTCTAACAAACTTTGACTTCCATATCCGTTAAAAAATCTTAATTTCATTTCATCTTCCAAATTTTAGTTCAATTTCTTCTTCAAAGTAACATACCAAAGTACGTATCTCTAAATTCTCAGTAAAAAAACAAGATAATCTCAACAATTTATTGCACCACATCCCATAAATTCCCTGTTTAACACCCCATAACTTTTCACAATACCATTTAACACTTAATTTTTACTCTAATTTTTTAATAAATTGCCAGTCTCTTTTTTTCTTCTAGGTAACAATTTCCAAGTATATTTACAGTCATCAAGAGGATAAAGTCTTATCAAATCGGAATCTAATCCGCTCAATGTCTCAGCATTCATACTCATTGAACTCAACGTCATTGAATACGTGCTCATCAATATGTCCAATACAACCATTTAATGCTTCTTCCAATCAACAAATGGCATTCCGATATTTTGATTCAAAACGTCCTCTAGTCGTATCGTTCCGACGCGCCAATAAGATGACTCAAGGCAATTTCACACTAGAACATTGCAGATCTGTTAGTGATTTCCAAAGAGTTGACAAGTGTTGTACGAGTAATGGAAAAAATAAAAGAAACAGCAGCCATGATAAAATATCACTTAAGGCATTATCGAAATATGATGGTTGTGGTGTGAATAGCATTATTATTAATGATGCCCTTGAAGCGAACAATAACTGTTTTAATGGAAATCCTTCAAGTAGAATTTTCAAATAAATTAAATTAAGTGAGTGAGAACTAATGATATGTTTGGGGTGGATTGAGGGGGCAAAAGGGTTTGTGGGAGCAGTTGCTTCAAAAAGTCTTTCTCAGGCGATGTAAGAGAAGAGTGACAAAATTGTATTTAGCGGTACCAAGGGATACCACGAGAAGGAATATACTTGACATTTGGGCAGCTTCAGAATCAGACTTCAGCTTCCTCAATACCCCAAAAAAAGGAGACTAGAACCCCACAATTTGAGAGTCCGACAACGTCGCTAGATTACTCATCAAATTGTTAAAGACTAGACCCCTCAATACACTCCCGACACTCATTAAGTGTGCTAATCAGATGAGAGAAAATTTTCTTTAAAGTTTAAATTGATGAAGACCGCAGAAATGTTTACAGTTTTGAATCTTTTGAGATGTTTTTTGATACTCCTTTGAAATGTTCCTGGAAGTGCCACAAAGTTGTAGGCGTATATACACACTCTATAACGCTTCAATGACGATGAATAGACAAAAAATTAAATCAAACTGAGACTTTTAAGAAAATTTTCCCCACGTCTGCTATTGATTAAAATGATATAGTCATAACTATAGCCTAGAGACATGTGATGTCAATTTTTTTTTTCGGGTTTTCAACGAAATTTGTTAAACAAATTCGCTTGAGACATTAAAAGATACAAAACTTAATTAAACTGACGCAAGAGTTCATGGATTCTTTGTTGGTAGGAATGGGAAATTGTGAATGAGGACAAAAAATTGAGCATTAAAAGAAAGTTTGAAAACAATTTTTTTACGCGACGCTACACTTCATTGGGTTTTTGTTTTATTGAATTTATAGTATTTTTCTATATTACGGAAATTTTGTTGTTTTTTATTGTAGAATGGTTAAGGGGCGCAGACAATAGAATTTTTTGAGACGTCAATAAAAATTTATAAGGTTTTTCACATAAACAACGCACAATTTTGAGGTTTATAGTCTATAACATTTCGATACTCATGGAATTGTCTTCTTTTTGTGAGTGCTTTAAATAGAATTTTGTCCAAAAAATGAGTAGGTGTGGAAAATCGTGCAATTATTGATTGATTTGAAATTCTGTTACACTGTTGGGGCGTATAAGCTTCATCTTTGATGTCTTTAAGCTTTGTTAATTGATTTTCAAAGTTCAAACATTTCAAATCATTATTCTGCAATATTGAAACGTAAATTGACATTGTTTTTGTAGGAAAACGTGTAACTGATATTTTCGTTCAGCGAAAAAGAATCGACATTTATATGCAGCCGTATGTCTATAATAAAATTGACAATATAAGCTTTGTTCACTGAATAAATTTGAATTTTTTTTGTTATTTTTATCCAATAATGCACGCAAAGTACGTTTTGATACTTTGATGATGAAGAAGAAAGAATCGAATTTTTCCATAATGTGAAATAAATTACGTATTCATCCTTTCCAAATGTGGCTTTTCGAGACATTCCAATAATTCAGCGTAGATTCAAATCAATCTATAACGTCAAAAATTGCTTGCGGTTCTTTTGATTTGGGAATTTTTCTTTCAATGAGGATATTTCCTAGTCAAGTCTCAGTACCTATCATGGTATCTATTATGGTGCGTAGCCAGGAGGAGGGGTCAAGACTTAGGGTCCTATCCCAGGACGTAAAATGCAAATTCGTTCCCTGTATAAATCCTAGGGAATCAAAGTGGAGTTTAAAATTTGAATTTTCGTAGACAAAATTTATGATCGAGCCTCTAGAACAGTGTTATCCAAACTTTTTGAGCCACGGCACACTTTTGAAGTAAACCATCACCAAAGTCAAAAAAATTCTACGGTACATCAGTGTGCCAAGGCACACAGTTCGGAAAACACTGCTCTAGAAGTTCTGCTGTTGATGTATCAGCATATTCCTTATAAAAAAGGCATTTGTTAAAATAATTAAAATATGATCAAGCAGAAAAAACAATGGAACAGGAAAAGGGCAGCAAAAATTGTTGAAAAAATCGGGAAAAATATCTTAAATCACTTCTTTTAAGGTTGATGATTTATTGAAATTTTAAAAAAATAATTCAAATATGGTTTGGAGCAAATTTTTCCAAATCATTCAATAGAAAAGGTTCGTCTGATGAATCGTAATTAGGAGCAGTAATTTCTCAAGTTAATTATGAAAATGACTGAGTGTATTTTTTTTAAAGCTGAAAGTAATTTTGTTTGGTATTTTAGGAAATTTGATTTTCATTCACTTTGAAAAGAAATCATTCACCAATGACGTCAAATTTTAATTAGATCTTTTGCACCCCTTCACTAATTGATGAAATGATCAAAACTGATGAAAATGTAATTTATCAGTTTCGCACCCTTGATTTCTCTTCTCCCAACTATATCTCCTCGAAGTTGCCTACTCAATTGACATTTATATTTAAAATCAAACAATTTTGTGACTCCCCGCTATTCGTATTCCTCTATTTCCTTAATTAGTGACGTTATTTAGTCAATGATCCTAAAAGATAAACTTCTGAACCGTGGCATAATTTAATTGTTTTATGAACTTTATATTGGTCATAGAAAGAAGCACACAAAAGGAGTCGGTATAAAAAAATGGTGTCGAGCAGAATAAAAGTTGATTTTTTGCTGGTTGTTCAACAATTTTCCTTTGGGGCCGTTCACTTATTACGTAACGCGAAAAAATGACTTCTTAGACCCCCCCCCCCTCGTAACAAAATTTGTATGAAAAAGAAATTTCCTTGTTTGAATCGTAACAAAATCTTAGACCCCCCCTCCCCCTAAAAGCGTTACGTAATAAGTGAATGGCCCCTTTCCAATAAATTCAAACTTACCATAAATAAATGAATAATGTACAGTAGGATAATAAAATTATTGTGTTTATTAAATAATGTAAAGTTGAATAAAAATAAAAGGAAGTTGCTAGAAATATTTTTTATCAAAAAAATAAAACTTTTGCTCCATTTGAATTATTTTATTTTATTTTCAGAAAATTCTCAGAAGGGATAAAAAGGTTTCAGAACTGTTGGAATAAATTTTAATTTCAGCTCCGAAAGTTTTCAAAAGAAATTTTCGGTAAAGTTTGCTTTATCTTTGTCTATTTATTAACTAAGCCACAGTGTACATTGAATAGTAAATTAGATATTATGTGTTGATCGGTGTTGGTCCTTAAATAGATTATTCTTTAATTTTACTTTATAAAATTTTCAATTTTTCATTTTTTTAAGTTACAACAATATGGAGTATGTGAGACAGATAGATTTAGATTTATTAATCAACCAGTCACTAGATTTCTAAATATCCCAAACTGACAGAAGATCTCGAAGGATAGAGCTGTCTTTGGACGATTTCTGAACGCGGCAATGGGCCCACGTGTGCCCCAGTCAAGGAATTAAGAAGTAAATAATCAACCAGTAGCATAACTTATTCATTAAAACTTTATTTTATCACATTAAATTTTTCATTCACATTTATCAAACACATCCGATTATTCATTTCCAGGGGGACAACAACTGTCTGTAAAATTTTTTTTTAATTTTATAAGGACTCTTGTTTTCAAAATCGATGTAAAATGATATTAAGTCACTAAAATTTATTTACAGCTAGTTGTTCTCCCCGTACTCAATTCACAATAAACTCTATATCAATGTAAGTATTTCACATCACAATCCTTAGAGTGTCTTTGACGAATGTGGGAAAAAAATTCGATCAAATTTAATAACGTAGGAGTTACAAAACACTCGGAAACTCATTCAAGAATTCGAGAATTCACTTAAAATTTAAGCACTTATAGCTTACAACATAACGAATCTTCAAAGCACCCACAACCTTTGCCTCTTAATTAGTACAAGTCACAAAATTACAAATTAGTATCGCATTACAATCTCTTGTGAGCTGAGATTGCTTTTGATTTATTTTCAAGAGAGCACTTAGAAGCAATATTGATAACTTATGAACCGAAATTTTATTCGTTGAAGGTTACAATGTTCAGTGAGTCATGCGTTTGCGGCACATTTGATAACAGATTTATTGAGAAATATTTTACAGCTAATCGTCATCAAAGTACATATCATTGCTATTATATTCACTAGAATGTGGTTTTCTTGGAACTTCTTCATTTTCATCTTCAGCATCATCATCAACAACATTTCCAAATCCACTACCGTCAATTTCATTTTGATTATGGTTTCCTTGACAGTAATTAATAGCGTAAGATTCTTGAAAGCTTAATTGATGCTCGAGATTTTTGTAGCGGGAATTACGTTCGAAGTATTTCCAAAATTTCCATGATATACGCGTGTACTCGAGGACTTCCAACATTAAAATTTTATTAATAAAATTTGAGTCATTTTTCAATGTTTTTATGATGCAAATCGTGTAAGCTCGATGTCCTGCTATGTCATTCAACCTGGTCTTTGTTGTAGACTCAATGTCATCAATTTTATTTTCAATAATGGTTTCACACAGCTCAGCATCACCAAAAAATTGTCCAAATGAATTAAATGACTCATCTATTAAACTATTTGCTGTCAAGTAGCTTACATAACATTCCATTTTTGCTTTTACAGGTGCTTTCTTTATCTCATTGTATATTAAATATGAGAAAGCTATCGTAATTGTACTTAAGATTATAACTGCTATTAAAATTATTTTTCTAGCGTATCTCCTCGGACTTGATGGATCTGACTTTTGCATTTTACTTTTTGAATCCATTTTTTAAGACGCAATCTAATCATTTGAATACACAAGTCGTACTGAGAGGAATATAATTGTTCAAATAAATTTTATATTTCATTTAATGGATGTCCCATGTAATCATAAGCTGCTTTGTGTACTGAGTCAATTTTTTATTTCATTTGCAGGATGAGTTGATGGTGCATTAAACTGATGAAATTGTTATTGTGATGTTGAAAAATTGAGAATATTATTTATTATATATTGCATTAACTTATTCGAATATGAATGCATCAAAATTGGTTTTTAAATTAAGTTTATATTGTGAAATTAAAAAATTTTAAAGACTTAAAGTTTATGGCTGTAGATCCAAAAAATTACAACCTAAAGTAAAAAAGGAATCTATAAAAAAATTCTTAGAAATTCACAAACTAAGGAACTGATAAAAACTCCTCATTAATCATCATTAAAACACAAAAACAATCAATTTGAGATAAAGTTAAAATTAATTGTTAAAGCTTCCTGAATTTATTTTTAGAAGAAGTGTTCAAGGTTATTTGTTATATCTTCTACATTAATTGAGGATCTAAGAGGCAAGAATCTACAACATTATGAGACGATCATTATTATACATCCTGATTTACCAGTTCATCTTAATTATTTGGACAAACAGAGCTCAAATCGACTTCAAGAACTGAGGGTCCTCAATTTGAGTAGGTGTTTAGTTCTAAAAAATGCGTAAAATTCACACACGTTGTCATTTCTTGAGAATCTGTTTGATTCTGCTATTGGCTTCTAAAAACCTGAAACTCGCAATTCGTCCAACCTTTTTCATATATCATTTTTTTTTCTGTGATCAATCTTCAAATTCGTAGCTTATTTTTTTACTTTAAACCTTTAACTTTTGACATTGACTTTGAAAAATCTCAGTTATGCATGACAATTTACCTCGGTGAACATTTATACTAAATCACATACATTGTAGACTTTTCAAATTTCAAGCCTATATCCTCTATATATTTACATCAGCATTTATTGATGTAAATAATTTTTCCAATTTTTCACTTGAAGTCATCCGAAAATCGTGCATCAAAGAGACATATAAGCAACCTTACATCTTCTATGAATTTCTCCAGGGAACTTGTAAAGATGATTTTGATTATATGGGCGTTATCAACAAACTGTGAGCTTAAAATTGAGAATTTGAGAAATGATAATCGCTTCAAATTTATAATAATAATTTCTGTTGTGTACACAAAATAATGTGAATCTGTTCATATGAATCTCAGTATTTAGAGCAGTGGGAGTAATGAATAATTTTGATGATTATTAGCTGCTTATTTTCAATTTTTTAAGAAAGAATATAGAGCAGTGTGATAGCTTTCAATTTGTGGTTATTTGTCTTGATGATCATTAAATATGGAATTTTAATTAACGAGATTTTAATTGCAATTTTCCAATTTTAATGCTTTAAGTTTGGTTTACAGCACATAATCTTCAGTGAAATTGTGGAATTTTTTGTTAAAATTTGAAGGCATCACCATAATTAGAATTCTGTCCTGTTTTCTCGATCGGCACACATTGCCGGTAATGAATTTCAATGTGTGCCGATCTGGTTTATGGAAATTTAGGTCATAATAAATTTAAGTTAACTTCCCTTGATTTAAAATAATCAGGAAATGTAAGGAATTCCTAACAACAATCTACTATCATCGAATGATCTCTTTTTGACCTTTCAGGTTTTGCATTCTCGCAATTATTTTATTATGTTCATAACATCTATATATTTAGAAAATATTTCGAGAAATTCATAAACTTTTGTTTCAATTTATTTTTTTGAATTTTTTCATGTATGTTTAAATTTTTTTAGGAGATCTGTTCCTAAATGACATGTATTCTTCTAAATAAAGACTCTTCAACATACCAATCTCATTGTTATGATCATAGTGATAGTATATAAATCAAATTACGTAACAAAATTTAATAAAAATATCATTTTCAATAATTTATTCTGCAAAAACATAAAGAAGCATTCAATTTATTGTACAGACAGTTCACTGACATTTTTATAACATCTTCAATAATAACTCAACTGAAGAAAATGAACTCACCCTCTTTAGAGCTTCAAGAGTTTAGACTGAATCCTCTGCAATATTTATACAGGTATCATTCTCAAGACAAATCAATATCATATCCAAAACAAATAGAAGAAATTTATAAATAAAGCTCGTTCAATTCATCCAATTCAACAAAGTAATTTCATGACCAAGTGAACTAGCCTCCGGATAGCAATAGATTCAGTTTAATCTACTGACATGATGATTGACTCACAATTTGGCTAAGCAAATATCAGAAAAGAAATCTGCTGATGATAACAGAAATTGGAATGTGTTGAAATAGCTCAGCACGTAGACATTGAAGTCTAGATACAGAGATGGAGTTGGGTATTATTGGATTGTGCTCGAAGTCGATGAAATTATGTAAACAAAATCGTTTAAAATCTCGAGTCGACTACGAGCTCTGGATTGAACATGTGGCAATGCATAGCGAATGACACAAGCCGGTTAATCAATCAGAAATCCAGTACGAAACCTGTGTGACTCTGGCATTGCGCTGGATTTAAATCTAAGCCAGCAATATGCCAGAGTCATACCGACTTGGCGCTGCATTTCTATTCGATTAATCGACTTGTGTTATTCGGGCATCACATTAGGGTTTTATCCACACTTAAGTAGATGACAGACCAACATTCTTATCTAGAACTCCCTATGATCTTTATAGAACACGCCCTTGATCCCATCCTGAATTTAATCAATGCTTATGCCTAATGCCACACTAACAGATTCACAAAGCATACCACATTGCTGAATATATGAATGAATATTTTCATTCAGAAAAGTTTTTTGTTTTACACATTCATTCAAAGTGTGAACAATTGGCACACATAGTAATCAGCATGCACACAATGGGCACAGACAATAATACATTCAATGTCGGAAATTCATATGTAAAGGTTAGAATTAATTAAATCTATTCAGAATTGTCATCACATTTGCATATACAAAACTTTCTTTCTATCTAACTCTATCCTCCAAGGCAGCATAAAGCAAGCAAAGAGCAAAATGTGAAGAAGAAGAGTATGTAACAGAAGATGCAATTGACTAGTCTATCATATCTTCCGTTAGTGCAAAAAACAGCAAGCTATGAGAGAGAATGAAAAAAATGTGCAATAGAAATTAGACTAGATGCATCGAATGATGAGATTCTGGTAAGTAAATGCGAAAAATGTGGTTCAGGAATGGAAAATTCAAGCACACGATTGAGAGCATTTTGAGCATGAATTGGAAGTTTCTAATAGTTTTATTGGTCCATGGAAACTTTTTTTCCATACGAGATAGTTGTGCACATGCTACCAGGCATCGTAGACGTTTATGAAATAGAAGCTATTGCAGTTGCGGAAAAGTTGCTCGTTTAAATGTTCATTCTACTACCTCTATCGCATGATGCTCTGTTATGCTAGTGTGAAAATTTAAAGTTTTAAAAAACGTCATCAAATTTTATTTTTCTAATTCTATATAATTATATCGTGCAGCATCGATTTGTTCCTTTAAGACAGTTAAGGTTCACAATATTTTGTACAATATTTTTAAAAAATACTTCATTCTTAAAGAAGAAGGAGAAATTGACTAACTTCTGATGCTAGAATAACAGAAATGTTTTCATGCAATTTTCCAGAGTGTCACGAACACACAGACTTATATGCTCAAATGGAGACACAGCTTAAGACATGACTGTGAAACAAGGAAGCCATTGGAAATTTGTTGTATAAACGACCAGGAGATGTGCAGTTTTAATACTACAAGAAAATGTTGCACTTTTGAAATTAGGGAGAGTTCTTAAATGATGTGTAGTATTTAGAATGAGTTGAGGTATGATGGGAGAGTGGAGTTGAAGTAAGAAGTAAGTGAGGTATGATGGGGAGTGTCGTCAAATGCTCTGGAAATCTAATTATCAAGGAATTATTTTAAGATTGATGAGCAGCGAGATCAAGGTCACCAGAGAAGGCTGAATATTGGCAGAAATTACTGAGTTGGAACAGAATGAGTCGAGCAAAGACATAAACAGACTGAATAGAACCAAATGAGCCCAATATGGAACAGAAATGACCAAAATAAAGCACCGACGTCAGATAAGGCTTGAAGGAGTCGAAAAATTATATAACCGACTAGATAAAGACTGTATAATGGCAAAAAGAAGGTTGGAGCGAACATGCAGGGTCCAGACTTAGCCAAAAGAATAAAGTGAAGTTTATTGAAATTCATTAAAGTGTAGTGGGAGTCTTGAAAATCCTAAATAAATTTAATGAAAGTCCAGAATTAGCACAAAAAGTATAAGTAGTGTTATTCAAGGACAGAAGTTATTAAATGAGAACAGAGTAGGTTTAAGGAGATCAAATGGACATAAGGAGACAAAATAGAACCAATGACGCTCACATACGACTGATGAGCTCGAAATAGAGCATAAAAATGCATTGGACGTCAGAAAAAGATATGGATAGGATTAAAGTGATTTAAAATGAGGCAAACGTAGCCAAAAATAATCAAAGGAAGCCAGAGGATCACGAATAAAACCTAAAGTCGACTCATGGGTGCCAAAAAATACTAGTATAGAGAAAGAGACTTAGTAAAGACTGCAAATATAACAGAAATGCAATCATAAGCATTTTTCACGTTACACAATAATTTAATGATCCCAAGCTACATGATGCCTGGTTTTTGCACGGCGCCAATTTTTCCTATAAATATATTCACATTTGCAATTGCGATATAAAAATATTTTTTTTTTTGCTATATATTGAGCTTCACTCTAGCTTTTATGTTTTCTTCATAGTTTTTTTAAATTTCTTCTTCATCTTTTGCGCTCGTCGATGCACTTTTGAAATCACAAAATGAATTTACAATTTTTTATTTTAAAACGACGTCAAGATTAAAAATTGCAGGAATAAAAAACATTGAGAACATTGTGAGGCATTGAGCGTTGCTTGTGCACTAAAAAATATTAAGAAGAAAGAAAAAATTGTTT